GGAAAATGTATGGACAAGAGGGCCTGTGTGTCCATCTGGACCATCCTGGCTGCCCATTGTCTAGAGATAGAAACACTTCCTTCCTTTCTTAGGGACACCATTTCAAAGTGAATGAGAGCTCTGTGAAGAGCCATGAGCTGCTTCATGACAAGGGTGGAGAATAAACATTGAATTATTACATCTACACATTATAATTCATTTCTTTTTGGCCCAGAAATAAATACTTCACTGTTTATCCAGGATGCTGAGTGGACAACTAACTTAATAATATATGAAAAGCATTAAGTGCTGAAAACCCTGACAATTAGTTTTGAAGCTCTGTATTATTTTAATCTTAGTGATTTAGCCTTTGGCTTAAATTAAAAATGTTCCTTTATACATTCATTTATTACTTAAGTCTTCTGAATTCCAAAAGGATTTAAGGGGCTTAAAATGAAAGCAGGGGGGCTAAGGAGATGGGTCAGCAGGTTAGTGCTTTTTGCACAAGCCTGAGAATCTGAGGTTAACCCCCAAGTACCTATACCAAATGCTGCACATGGCTGCGTAACCCCAGAACTTAGGAGAAAAGATAGGAGGATCCTAGGATCCTAGGACTTGCTGCCCATCTGCCTAGCTCCAGGTTCAGTGAGAGACCCTGGCCCAAGGGGATAAGGTCAAGAGTGACAGAACAGGACACTTGATGTCCTCTTCTGGTCTCTTTGTGTGCACATAGATAAACCACCTGGGGAGGGGGGCTAACTTGAGTGTGGTGGTGCTGTGGATATCGTTCTGTATGCTGTGAATGTGTTGCTCTGATTGGTTAATAAATAAAATGCTGATTGGCCAGTAGCCGGGCAGGAAGCATAGGTGGGACAAGCAGAGAGGAGAATTCTGGGAACAGGAAGGCTGAGGCAGGAGTTGCCAGCCAGACACAGAGGAAGCAAGATGTGAAGGCAGAACTGGGAAAAGGTACCAAGCCACATGGCTAAACATAAATAAGAATTATGGGTTAATTTAAGATGTAAGATCTAGCTAGCAAGAAGCCTGAGCCATTAAGCAATACAGTTTTAATTAATATAAGCCTCTGTGTGTTTATTTGGATCTGAGTAGCTGCAGGCTTGGGCAGAACTGAAGAAAACTCCAGCTACATGGTGGCTCATACCTATAGTCCCAGCACAGCAGAGGCTGAGGCAGGAGGATTGCAGTAGTTACAGGCCAGCCTGGGTTACAAAGTAGGGATGTGTCTTTAGGAAACAACAAGAAAAGAAATAAATGAATGAAAAGAAGGGAACTCTAATCAAATCATTTTGAGGATGTAGTAAAAATTAAGCAATTGTTAAGAAAACTATGTTGAGCCAGGCAGTGGTGGAGCTCACCTTTAATCCCAGCATTTGGGGGGCAGAGCCAAGTGGATCACTGTGAGAAAGAAAGAATGAATGAAAGTAAGAAAGAAAGGAAGGAAGGAAAGAAAGAAGAAAGGAAGGAAGGAAGAAAGGAAAGAAAGAAAGAAAGAAAGAAAGAAAGAAAGAAAGAAAGAAAGAAAGAAAGAAAGAAAGAAAGAAAGAAAGAAAGAGAAAATAATGAAAGGAAGAAGGAAAGGAAGGAGAGAGGAGGGAGGGAAGCTCCCTTCCAACAACCACTGGATTACTGAAGTTATCTGTCATAGGCCCATGAAATTTCCCCCAGATTATGCATCCAATTTGCTTTAAATATGAGGCAGAGAGGTGCAAGTCACCATAATGGAAGCAAGATGTGAAAAAAAACTCTACTCATCTGTCCAGAAAACCATTACAACCTACACACTCTTTCTGCCTCTATGGGAACTCCAATGGAAGGGAACTCTAACAAAATCCAAAAGGGAAGAGGAGAAATGGACCTTTGAACCCACATGGCCAATCACAGAACATGTTTACTTCACCATGATTTATCTTTCATTAGTCAGCAGCAAAGAATCTTGGGAAAACAAGTATCTTGTTCTAGGATGTCAGAGAGGAGCAAAATAATTCAACATCCACCAGTAACTTTGAGCAAAACACAAATGTTTCCTTCCTGGTTCTGGACAATAACTCCTCATATGAGAGACCACTGGGATCAAGAGTGAGTCTCCAAAACACCGGACCCTCACTGGTTTGCTGAGAACTGGGCCTGGTGCTGAGCTGCAGGTCATGCTCCTTGGAGAAGATGGGAGTAGAGATGATGGAAGATTCAATTCTGGCAAGGGAGGTACACTCTCAGACAGTCTCACAGCACAAAAGCTGAAAGGTTTCAGGCTTAGGGCTCAAGAGGGACACTGAGATGCATTGTTTTCTTTATAGGTTTATTAAAAGAGCTATTAACACCATGGAGACAGACAGCAGCAGGGCAGGGGCCCTGAGGGGAGGGCAGAGTTACATGGCAGAGTAGGAATAGGGTAGGAAGGAGATTGGAAAGTTTCCCCTTTCAGTCCCCAGCTGGCCATTGCTAGAGGTGACCAGTGAGTGCTCTATTAAAGAATATTAGATGTTCAATAAATATCTTTTCTAGCCAGCCATTACTATGGATTGGTGGATTAGGGAAGAAAAAAAATCTAGAGAAACAAGTTACCTCAGCTGTGGAAGTGCAAATCACTGTTGTTACTGAAGTTATCACAGCTTAACCCAAATGGAGGAAATGACAAAATGCCACGGCCCTCACTAGCGATGATGACACTTGGAACCTTTGCTTCTACTTTTTCCTTAAAATGCCCGAGACCAGTGATTATTCCAGTTGATTGGGCTGTGTAAAATTTATCCCACAATTTAAACTACAATCCTGTTACTTTCCTCACAGTTTTGAGGGTCAGGAATTTGGGTAAGGCTGGGCTAAGTAGCTGTCACATGAAGTCTCTCATGTGGTTGCATTTGAATGTCTCCCCAGGCTATGGCCTCGAAAGCCTTGCCTGGATAGCCGTCCATGATTGCTCAATCATGCATCTGCCATCTGCCCCTGAGCAGACTGGGAGTGCTGTGGCCCCCATCCATCCTTGACAGAACAGCCTTGTAGGGTCTATGTCTCACTTCTCCCTTGGTGAAGGACTTCTCCTTAGACTAAGAGTGAGCAATTCAAAGCCACATGGCCTCATCTGACCCATCCTTGGCTGTCAAAGGTACTGTACACTATATTTTATTCATTCCAAATCACTGAAGTATGCCTAGATTCAAGAGCGGGGAGAGACTGATCCTGTCAATGGTAAGAGTGTAAAAGAATCACTGACATATTTTTAAACCATTATTTTCTGCCTTGTCTTTCTTTTCCTTTCTTGGTAGTTCTTTTGAGGGGTGTATCCCCCTACTCTTCACTGAATTGGTAGGGCATTCCATTACCCATCTAAAACAAGCATGTCACGGAAATACTAACTGAAGCTTCAAGCAGTTGGTAAAAAAACCTTTAACTTTCATTTCTGTATACTGTTTATAGTAATCAGTGTTTTCTCAGCAAGCATGGACACTACTATTCATTGACATAAGGAAGAGAATAAGAAAGTATTCAGTTTGTAGTATTTAAAATTCAAAGTGTTGCCTCTTTTTGCCACATAGAAAATTTAAATCCTAAAGTATTTTTAGTCTTGCTGTTCACAAACCTGAATACTTAGTTTCCTGGTATATCATAATCTCTTTACTTTATTTCTAATGTATGCTTCTCACAAAAGTGTAACTTAATTAGTGTCACAAATTAGTTTAGAATATTCCAATATGCCTTTGATAAAATTAGTTTTATTTATATTTTCAGTATAGGTTCATATTTAGCACAGCTGAAACACTTAGAAATTTTTGTGATATTTACTATAAAAGAAATGGTAATAAAGATATCAGTCTAGGTGTGGTGACAAGGCTTAAGAGGCAGAGACAGGTGGATCTAAGTGAGTTTGGGGCTAGCCTGGTCTACATAGCAAGTTCCAGGCCAGGGATACATAGTAAGACCCTCTCTCAAGAAAAAAGAAAGTTAGCCAAACAGACATCAGACGCCCTGAACATCCTGAGGTCATCTAGGTTTTCAACATGATTTGAAAACATGAACAATGGATAAATATATGAGCTGATAACTAAAAGGACAACAGAGTGTGTGTGTGTGTGTGTGTGTGTGTGTGTGTGTGTGTGTGTGTGTGTGTGCATGCGTGTGTGCGTGTGTGTGTGAAGTCACAAGTGTTGATACACGAAAACCACATAGTAATTCCTGCTTTCTGGGTGCGTAAGCTCCGAGGCAGCACACACATCCTCGCTACTCCAAGGGAAGAGCAATGTAAAGTTCTGACAAAGGGTGAATTTAATTCTGTTCTACCGCTGCTGGGCTCTAGGAACCTGCTCACCAGATCAGGACAGCCTTCATAAGGCTTGTGCCAGTAAGGACAGAAGCAGGAGTCCACTCCTACTTATTGGAGACCTTAAATTTATTCCAGTACATCTGAAAGATGGAAATAAAACTGTCATTTCATTTCTCCCTAGGCATTTATTTTATGGGCTGAGAAAGAGACGCATGGGGGCAGGAACAAAGCAAGATCGTGGAGAGCAGCACACGGACGTGTTTTATGTAACAGGTACTCGGTGTGCGTTCTCTGAACAAATGGACGTTTGAGCAAGAGAATAAATACAAAGTGCCTTGAGGAAAAAGTATGACTTTGCCTTACTTTACCAAATAAACACCCAGAGGAGGTAGCTGATGCCAAGATGAGAAAGCATCTCTTCCCGAGCTTGCTATGTGTGTCTAGCTCTCAAAAGAAACAAAATGTTTTCAATAGTTTTAAGGTGACACCAAATCCACAGCCCAACACTGGTTCCTTATGACCTAGGGTCTTACCAAAGAAAGACTCTTGGCTTTTGTCCAGAACTTTTTACTTCCCAACAAGCTAGTTTCCTAGTATTTCCACAGCTCTGGAAATCCCGTGGGACACTCACAGCTGCTACAGTTTCAAAAGAAGTTGAAGAAGTAACCCCACCTTTCCACAAAGAAGGCTTTCAAACAGCACTCTCATCACCCCAAACTGTGAAAACTCTTCTCTGTTTCAGAGCTGAATGGCCCCTGAGCAGCCTAGATCATGTCCTAAAATCTTGTGACCCAGAAAGGTCCTGAGAGCAAAGCAATGATAATGAAACTGGATGAATATTAAGCATTTTCTAACCAACAGTGAGTATTTTTCTTGTATTTTCTCACTTTACCTAACAAGAAGACCACAATTTTGATAATACTTTTCTTCCTATTATTACCATTTTGCAGAAGAAGGTAAGATGTTGCAGATCCAATGATTTGCCCAGGGACACAGAGCCAGTAAATGACAAAGTCGGAATTCGAGCCACCATCTAGTGGAAAAGCAGCCCTAAGCTTTCTTTTTCCAAGTCCGTTTCATTGTTTACTATTCTGAATTTAAAGAGAAGGTGAAACAGTATCACAGTGAATATCCATAGCTCTTTACTTACTTAACAACTGATCATGGGTATGATGTATGTGTTTTTCCTCCTCCTATCTCACTAGATACCTGATCTGTGTTTCGAAGTATAAATAATGAAAAGGAAATAAGAGTGAAATGTACCACACAACACACACACACACACACACACACACACACACACACACACACACACACACACACACACTTATACCTCACATAAGTATAGCCTGTCTACCACACAATATTCAATACATATATATGTGAGATATATTATACATACATGTAATATATAATGCATACCATCCATGCCACGTGCAAACACAGCCTACAAAGAACACAAACATACACACACACACATATATATCCATACAACTTACATACATACAATGCACATACTCTTGTTAACCTATGTAAAAATAAATTGCATACTTTATGATGTTACCACTAAATCATTTAGCACACACCTTCTAATAATAAAGATAGTCTCCATCAAATCATATCATTGTCTAACAAAATTAAAATAATTTCCATGAAGCCACCTAACACATATGCCATCCATATAAAACTTCCATAAACATATGTGGAATATTTTTCCATAGTAGTTAAACAGATTTAACAGATAGAGAGAGATCTACACTGGAGACTGGTGGCTGCTTTCAGTCAGATCATAATAATACAACTAAAACTGAGTGCCTCTACACGCGTTCTGAGACGTAAATACAGAGTTCTTTAAGGGGGCCGCTCTACTGGATGTACCTATTCTGAACATTGGAATTTTCACTCTAAACACTTTTGTATGGTTTGCTTGCCCCAGACGCTCATTTATAATAGTTCCTGGAGAGCCGTTCACTCTGAGATTTTATGAAGCTAACAGTAACAGAAAGAATAAACAGTTGGTGACTCACTCTGGCTGTGTGCTCCAAACGTCAAACATGTAGAGGTAACTTCGAAGAGTGGGGCATAAATTAAATGACTGGGAATACCAAGAAGAGGGGGGGCTTCCCCGCACTGACTCCATCCCATAGCAGAATGATGGACTCCTGGATTAAGCTGAAGGCCAAACATAGGTGTCAGATGTCTACATAGAGCTGACGTGGAGGCAGAAGAGGCGGAATTGAGAAACATTGTTACCACCATAGCAGTGAATTCGCTGTCCGGGGGTCGGGAGGCCTGAAGAGAAGAGAACAAGAGAAAAACTGATGCTAATGACCAGTGAGCACAATTTGAGCCATCTTAACCCTGTTTCATCTAGAAGAGAGCTGACACAAACTATTGAGTTTTCCACCTGCCAAATAAAATGCTAGACATAGGAATTTATTGAAGTAATTGGAACTAGAGCATGGCTCCCCCTCTTCCTCTTCTTGTCCAATATAGCCCCTATGAACATGTGGCCTCTTCTTCTGTCTGGATGTCTGTCTAACGTCCCTCTGTCTCTCTCATGAGGGCATTTGTGAAGGCGTTTGATCCCACCTGGGTTATCTTCTATCTCATAACCCTTAATCACGCACGTGAGAATCCTTTTTCTTTTCTTTTTGTTTTGTTTTGAGACAGGGTCTTGCTGTGTAGCTCTGACTTGCCTGAAACTCACTGTAGACCAGACTGGCCTCAGACTTACCTACCTCTCCCTCCCAAGTGCCCAGATGACCATTTTCTTTACAAGGCTCCACTGCCGTTATCCTGGGAGCTGTGTTCTGCACACAGGGTTAGAATGGACACCAGTAGCCTAAGAAATCTAAAGGCAATCAGCTTTAAAGGGTTCCAGAACTATACTGAGATGAACTTCCTATATTTCTTTAACAAATAAGCTTGACTGCCTTCTTTACAATGTATTTCCCTCTTCCATATAAATTTAATATGGAAAAAAAAAACAAGAAAAAAGCAAGGAGCCCTAAGAGAGGGTTTGCGCCAGCACAGTGACTCACGCTTACAGTCTCTGCACTTGGGAGATGGGGGCAGGAGGTTCAGGAGGTTCAGGAGTTAAGGTTGTCTTCAGCTACACAGGGAGTTCAAGGTGAGCTTGGGTTGCATGGGATCTTGTCTCAAAAGCAGATGAACAAACAAAGAGAGATTTGGCAGAGGCTTTGAGATTTCGTCTTTAGCACCTTTTGTCTTTAAGGGTGAATTTTTACAATCCATTACTTCACAGAGTGGTTTTCAATGATTTCTAAATTGTTAGATTGCTTGAGGACATATTTTAGGCTGATTTTTTTAAAACTTTCTTTTTATTTAATCTTTGTACCTTTCACATCATGCCTCCTGATCCCACCCATCTCCCTCACTCCCAGAATAAAACAAAATAAAATTAAAGAGAAAAAATGGGGGAAAGGGAAGAAAGGGGAAATCTTGTCATGGAAGCTGCGGTGTGACACAGTAAGTCACGCAGTAAACTCCTTTATCCATACGTTTTTACATGCAAGTGTTCATCGCACAGAAATCATTGGTCTGATGCGAGGCCCCTGGTCTCTGCTACACCATAGAATCTGGGCCCTCACTGGGACTCTTCCTCAACATCCTGTTGCTGCCTGTGTCGTGGAGATCCTGGAGCCCTGGGTCCGCAGGACTGACACTCACTCCACCTTCACTCGACCCCACCCGTTCTCCAGCAGATCACAGATCTCCAGCGTTACCCGGGCTAGTTCACCACTTGCAGAGATGAGCAAAGGGCGGGGCCAGCTCTCCTGCGCTAGCATCCTCAGGGGCGGTTCTCCCGCACCTATACCTTCAGACCCAGGAGAGGTATAGGGACCACTCGGCCAAGTGCTGCAGCTGATGAGAGGCAGGGACAGGTCTCCCACTCTTATGACCTCAGGACCAGTTCTTCCACCTGCCTCAGGCATTGATGGGCACGGGACAGAGGGATGCTCCTCTCCCTCACTCATGCTGCCACAAGACAGATGAGTAGCCGGGCGGTGGCGGTGCACGCCTTTAATCCCAGCACTCGGGAGGCAGAGGCAGGTGGATCTCTGTGAGTTCGAGGCCAGCCTGGGCTACAGAGTGAGTTCCAGGAAAGGTGCAAAGCTACACAGAGAAACCCTGTCTCAAAAAAAAAAAAAAAAAAAAAAAAAAAAAAAAAAAAAAAGACAGATGAGTCATGGGGACAGCTCTCCCACGCTCACTTCGAGGCTGTCTCGCCCACACCTCCACCGACAGGGTCAGCTCTACTGTGCTGCCCCAGTGAGGTGCAGGGTCTACTTTCCTGAGTGCTGCAGCTGGTAAGGGGGAGGGTCTGTCGCAGGCAGTGAGGGGTGAGGAGCTGTCATTTTTTTTTAAAGGATGATTAGCTCCACATTCCATGTACTACAGGAACTCACTGACCCTGATTCTGTATCTTATGGGCTTACAATGGCTTCTTTTGCACTGCCATTTTAAACTCCTTTTCTAGTGAGTGCCGCACAGCATAACGAATGGTATAGTTCGAATCCAAATGCCTCCCTACCGGCTCTAGTTTAGTCTTTCATCCCAGGCTCGTGGCACTGCATTGAAGGTTGTGGTGCCATCAGGAGGAAGGGCTTGGTTGGTGGAAGTAGGTCACTCCGGTAAGCCTTTGGAGTCTAGACTACCTGCCTGCTACTGTGTGGACAAGCAGCCATCTTATAGTCCCCTGGCCACGTACTGAGCTGATTCTACCACTATGCTTCTCCCACCATTAACAGACTTAAATCTCCAAAACTGTGACCCAAAATAAACCTCTCCTCTCTGCACTCATTTCTGTCTGGTGTTTCACTACAGCAGTGAGAAAAGAAACTACCAGAGTGAAGGTGCATACAGAGGTTCTACGGGACCCACCTGGTGGGCCAGGTGTAATGGGGCATGTCTAAAACCTCAGTACTTAGGAAGCAGAAGCAGGAGGAGCTACCATTTGAGACCGGTATAGACTATACAGTGAGACCCTACCCCCAAAAAATGAATTTTAAAAAAGAGCAAATTAGCCTCCAACCTCCACCCTGTGAGCGACCACTCCTCCCTGTTTATTTAACACTCACAGTGAAAGCACACATAACTGTGTGGCATCATAGACCACCATTCTAATAAGACAGCACCATCCAGTAGAGAAATGAGCAAGCTACGCTCTCCGGCCTTACAAGACCAGTTCCTGGATCCTTCCTGCTTCTTTCCATTGTCTCTTGCCTCAGATATTCCTGTCTCTGCCAAAATGCCTGGGCAGCTCCATAGTTCTTTCCGCCTTAGCCAAGGACCTTCTCCCGGGCCAGCTCATCCACCCCAGCACTGTCTGAGCCCTGGTTGTCCCGGACTCTGCAGTCATGGGCACCAGTGCAGACAGAGGACAAGAGGGCCTTTCCAGCCCAGGCATGAGTTGTGCAATTTCCTCCCACACACCCTGGGACCCCAGAAACATCTGGGGGTCACTGCACATTCACTAACAGCTTTTTCCTGTCTCTATCTTAGGCTATGGAAGATTAGAAATTCTCAAGAATAAAGGAAAAGTTTTCACTCCCTTTCAAAGTTAAGAAAGAACTGATCACATACTAAAGGGAAAAAAAGGAACAGAAATGAAAAACAATGGGTGGCCTTCCTTATCTGAAAACTACAGAAATCGTAAGCCCAACTACAGGATAGTTCTGGCGATTTATGAGAAAATGCCTGCAACTTGCATAACTCGGGGCCTGATATGAGGCAAACACTCAAAAATGTTAGCTTTGCTTTTCCTGTATTACATAACTTTATCCTCATTTGTCACTTAGCAAGTTGTCTGTCTGTCTGTCTGCCTATTTAAGTG